GAGAAAGAAAGGAAAAAAGGAACGCTGACAATACATTCCTCAATTTCCAAAGGCGAGGAGGTAAGGAGGCCGGCCCTATCTCGGTCCTTTCCGGGGGAAGTCTTATCATTGTCCAAGGAGTCGCGTCCAACGTAAGAGAAAAAGATATAGAGCGAGAGGGACCGCCAGACCTTTATGCTTGAGACACGCAGGGGAGCTGTGTGATTGCAAAGCTTCCTCAGTCAGGCGCGTTGGGGGGTGATGACGTCACAGCTCTCCTAGCCTGCTTCTGAGAGAAAAAATAACTTTTCTTTTCTCTCCCTTAAGCTTATGTAAATATATGTATATATTTTTTTAGGTTATGCATTGTTGACGAATTGTATTTTTTTTCGCACACAATACCCTCGTGGGAGAATAAGTAGTCCTTGTGTTTATTTGAGTGTGTTTTTTAGCTTTAAGTATGGTGATGCGGTCATTCATTGTTCGTTAAATGGCACAGATTATGAAAATGGGGATAGTTGATAACGAAGAATTACTTTTTAAAACTTTTATCTCTAAAACCTTGAGATATATTGAAGTCAGAAATGTGAAACGACTTTCCTTGAGGTTTATGGACGTTAGGAATGTAATATGGATTTTGTCAGTTCAAAAGTCTCTTGATATTCGTTTATGAGATGTATGAAGTTTTATGAGAGCGCGAGATGCAAGTAGACGAGTGGGACTGAGCTGGCAGGTGTTCAGAACCGCTTTTTGCTCGTATGCCGGTGCACCCCACATGATGAATCCCCCATGTTGCCTTTCCATGTTGCTTCCCCCTCTCCCACCCCCACCCCCCTCCTCCTCCTTTTTTCTTTCCTTTTTTATCTTTGTTTTTTTTCTCTCTTCGGGATATCTCCATTTCGACTTCCTTTCTGATATATACTTAAGTGTTTGAAATCTCTCAGCGTGTCTAGTATCTTTGAAAATTGCCTTTTCTGTGCTTCACATTTTTTTCATAATTCTTAACAAGAGAGAGGAAGAGAATTAGTAGAAAAAGATACAACCCATCTAAATAAACCGCGCGCACGCGCGCGCACACACACACACACACACACACACACACACACACACACACACACACACACACACACACACACACACACACACACACACACACACACACACACACACACCCTGGGAGACGCCATTACTTCGCCTTCCTAGTCCTAATGACCCACTGCCGGGGGCTAGTTCCTCCTGTGGCGTGTCCTTGTCTGGCTCACAGGATGGACTGACGGACGAATACGGACATGTACTTACGTGCGTATATACTGACATCCATACACGTACATATACATGTTCAGTTGGGTGTCTGCTCGTTCGCTTGCTCTCGCTCTCTCTTTCTCTTTCTCTTTCTCTTTCTCTTTCTCTCTCTCTCTCTCTCTCTCTCTCTCTCTCTCTCTCTCTCTCTCTCTCTCTCTCTCTCTCTCTCTCTCCCTCTCCCTCTCTCTCTCTCTTCCTTCCTTCCTTTTCCTCTCCCCCCCTCTATCTATCTCTCTCTCTCTCCCTCCCTCTCCCTTTCCCTTTCCCTCCCTTTCCCTTTCCCTTTCCCTCCCTTTCTTTCCTTCTCCCTCTCCCTCTCCCTCTCCCTCTCCCTCTCTCTTCCCCTCCCTCTCCCTCCTTTAAACCAAGATGGAACCAGGGCAGCCAGGCAAACACAAATATACACACGCACACATATGCAGACGCCTACACGTACGACCCCCCCCCCCTCCACACAGACACAGAAGCAACGTCTGTCCTGAAACTCGGTCACCTTGAAAGCTTCCTGTGACGAAATGTGTCGTTAGCCGGCAGGCCTGGTGGGGAGGTAGGGGGTAGGGGTGGGGTGGGGGATGATGAGGGGGAGAGGGGGTGAGGGTGGGTGTGGGGTAGGGGTGGGGGGTCGGGCGGGGGGTGGGGTCTCTTCCTGAATTTGGTTTCGTTGTTGTCTGGTACAAGAATGGGTCGTTTGTGGGATGGGGTAGTTTAGGGTAGTTCTGTGTCTTTCTTTTATCTTCTTTCCTTTTTTTTCCACCTTTTTCTTTGTGTTTTTTTTTTCTTCTTTGTCTTTTTTTTTGTCTTTTTTGTTGTTTATGAGCCCGGATGGGGCGGTGATGTGTTTTGCTCTCCTCTTCTTCCTTTCTCTTTTTTCCCTCGTGGTCGTCGTCATTTTCTTTGTCTACTGCTTCGTCTTCTGGTCTCCTTCTGTTTCTTCCACTCTTCTTAGTTTATTCCTTTTCCTGTCATTCTATTCTTCATCTATTCTTGTTTCTTTTTTCTATTTTTTTCTGTTTTTCTTGTTCGTCATGTTCCTGTTTTTTTTTTCCCTATTTTTTCTTTCTTTTTTGCCTACTTTGTCTTGTTACGTTTTATATAAAGTAAGGCCTTCCTCCACCTTTTTTTCGTTTTACAGTCTTGACACATAGATAAATAAACTCCAAAATTAAACAAAGTCCAATAAAAAACAGAATGAAAAAAAAAAGAACTTTGAAGAGATCGAACACTTGGCATAAGAATGTGGGAGAGGGATAAGGATAAATAGGATATAAAAGACATCCGGTAATAAACGACGATTAAAGAAAACTCATAAGAAATGCAGTTTCTGTCCCACGGTGATTACTAACAATTTAAGTCTGTCCTTGAAGGCTATGAAAAATCCCCTTTGTCTAACGATGTAATTAATCAGAGTTAATGCCTGTTAAGTTTCTAATTGCGGTGATTATGGTTAATAGATTGATTGTCTTTTGTGGTGTATTGAAAGAATAGATGTTGAGGAGGATAGGATCTTGGATAGGAAGTTTGAAAAAAAATAGAAAATTGGGATAAAAACTTTAGGGGAAATGTGATGGGAAATTTCTGTAATGTGTATTCAGTGTCAAGGTAAAAAATAAAAATTAATGTGTATAATTGAAATCAGAAATAGCCGGCGAGAATATGATTTAGAAGAAAAAAATATCTATAATCTATCGTTTTCTCTCAGGATCTCCCTCGCGATCTATAAATTCCATAAACAAACAGACATGAACACATTCATCGCCTTTAAACACTCTTTTAAATCCTCTTCCTCCGCCCCTTCCCGGAATCCAGTCCCTTATAGCAAAGATCTGAAACTCCAGGACGAGAGACAATCGCAGGAAACTGTTATTATAGCCTCGATGGGGGGTTGGGATGCGCAGGGGTGGTGGGGGAGGGGGGTAGGGAGGTAGGGAGGGAGGGGGGGGTGAGTGAGGAAGTTCCTTGTTGCAAAACGTTGCTTGTTGTGTTCTCCTCTCCTCGTCTGGAACTGAAATTGAATGGCGATTTGTTTTCATCTTGTTTGGATTGTGTCGTTAGTCGGTGATGATATTGTTTGTATAAATCATTTTGTTGTTATGTAAGGATGTGTAGGTTGGGATGATGGTCTCGGTCGTGTTATATGGTTGCTGTATGACGATAGATCTAAGTAGGTAGAAAATATTTTGTGTGAAGAATAAGAAATCTTTTTGTTTATTGGGATTAAAATGTGGTGACGTAATTGCTAGTTATTTTATGTGCATATTTTTGTTTGTGTATTTATTGTATTACTGAAACAGGAAGACTGAGGTACATGGGTGGAAAAAATAATATAATTATCAATAATTACCAAATTTGCTACAACGTCACTACTTTGCCGGTTCTTTTGTTATATTCGAGCATGACTGGAATTACTGTTTTTTTCTATTGCTATGACTGAACAGAGATATGGAGATTAATTGAGATTCCTAGAAGTTTGTGTTTGTTATATTACCATGACGGAAAACAAAGAAGGAGGGGACGTATCAGAAGATATTTATTGTTTTTGTTGATATTATGTATCAATTATTTTTTTCCATATCTGACATCACTGTATAATGTAAACTTGGAAATATTAATTGGCAAAATATAAGAACGATAACATCATTATTATTGTTATTATTATTATTACTATTATTATTGTTGTTGTTGTTTCTCGGGTGTCTTTCTGGTATATGATTTTTTTTCTTCGATGTGTTGTAAAATTAAAAATTCCTATTACGTTTTATTTCTTTATGTATTTTATATATAGAATATATAAAATAGACATTTGACAATTGACATTTATTATGGTATTTAAACTAAAGGTCATTTGGGTTTGTGATTAGATACTGTGTATTGCCGAAAATAGTGAAAATATTGAGTGTGAGGACTAAAACTGTGCTAACTACTGTTATTTAGTTATACTATTGTCGTTATCTGTTATCACTGTCTCTATGCACATCATCAGTTTATATTATTGATGTACTTGCCATTATCATTATTTCCATTATCATTATTGTTTATTGCTGGTACATAACATTATTGCTATTATTATTATTATTATTATTATTATTATTATTATTATTATTATTTAGCATTATACTTTTTAGCATATCGTTACTTGAATCCAGGGTTGGGTTCCAAGTACATGTACGTGTACTTGTTCTTGTACTTGGAGTTATGAAATTCAGTTTTATTTGTACTTGTACATGTCCCTAGACCTAAAGGAATTGAAAAAAAAAGTACAAACAAGTGCAATGTTATTAATTAAAAGTTATATACAGTGTAATGTTTTGCAATTCTGGGATAAAAACAGTGATGTAAATAAAGAAATAAAGGTAGAATTTCCTTATACTTTTCTGTATCGAATCCAACTTTTTAAAGTGAGCTCATTAATGTGTATATATGAAACCTTTCGTGCCTTACGAATGTGACAGGATTTTTTTATCACTTAAAGTAAAAAAAAATGTCTCTTATATCATCACTTACCTGACGGAAAATCTTATTGCAGAGGAAGGATGTTTGAAACCGCACTTTTATCAATTAGCTTAACATTTTATTCATTAACAAAGTTTTTTCTCTTGTATTATCATTTCTCTAACGAAAAATCTCTTAAATCTCTTATCAATTCGCTTAACATTTTATTCATTAACAATTTTTTTTCTCTTGTGTTATCCTTTCTCTAACGGAAAATATCTTACTTGCAGAAGAAGGAAGCACGAAGGAATTCAGCTGCGCGCGCCCTATGCTCGGGAGATACGTCTCTGTGCAGATGGTGGGCGAGAAAGGATCCATGTCCCTGTGTGAGGTGGAGGTGTTCTCGAAGCAAGGTAGGCGTGTTGTGTGTTGGAGGGGAGGGGGGAAGGGATGTTCTGTGTGTATGTTTGGAGTGGGAGGGGGGGGGTTGTGTTGTGTGTTTAGGGTGTTGTGTTCTGTGTGTGTTGGGGAGGGTGTTGTGTGTGTGTTTGGGGGGGGGGGGGGTTGTGTGTGTGTGTGTTTGGGGGTTGTGTTGTGTTCTGTGTGTTTGAGGGGGGAGGGGGTGTTCTGTGTGTGTTTGGGGGGGTTGCGTGTGTGTGTGTGTGTCTGCGCGTGCGCGCGCGTATGCGTGTGCTTTGGGTGTTTGTATTTTGTGTGTGTTTTGATTGTGGGAGTGAGGGGAGGGGATTGTGTTTGTTTGGGTGGTATGTTTGTGTGTTTAAAGAGCCTGCGTTTGTCCGTGCTTTGTTTGCGTGTAATGGGATATGTTTCATGTTCTAGAAGGCGCTTTCATCCATTTGTTTGCTTGCATGTGGGTGAGTGTCTTTGTTCATGCTTGCTGTTTTTGTTATACCCTAGGTGGGGAGTGGCTGAGTATAACGAATTAGATGTCAATATACCTTTTGTTTATTTGTTTTGTTTTATAGTCTAGTGAGGTAGCATTGTTTATATGCGTTCCTTAGTGTTTGGAAATACTATGATATTAAGACTCTACGTGGGACTGCTTCAGTACAAACACAACTAAAACAGCAAATAATTAGTTTATTTTTCTCCGCTGTTATTGACGTAAATAAAATAAATACTCTTGATTTTCAATGTGTATGATCTGAATGGATTTATTAAACATGCTGGAGCTGAAACGCATATGAGGTTTGTGACAAGTATTACGTGCCCAGAAATCTATTAATACCTAAACAGGGTAAGTTCAATGTCCTTGTCGTATTTTCTTTTTTTATTCTACATTTTCCTTTCTTATTTTCCTTTTGTACTATTTTACCCGTTTCGCAGATCCAGATAGATGTTTTGCAACGAAAGAAAAGAAGAAATTGTGTTGATTTTTTTCATTTAATACTGAAAGACGATACTAGATGGCGCTGTTATCGTGCACTTGGCAACGCGTTAAAATTCTCTTGTTTCTTTCTCAATTTCTTTCTTTTCCTTGTTTTTTTTTCTCTCCCTCTCAGTTGTTTCATTTCGTTAGTTGTTTGGGAGTTTTATTTTATTTTTCTTTCTTTCGTTCTTTCTTATTTAGCCTATTTCTGTTTCGTCATTATAAAGCGGAAAGAAAAGAAAAAAAAATTGTCATTGATCAACAATATGAAACCACGCCCATTATTGACAAAACTAAGACGTGCGTATACCTTAGACAAATAATGCGTAAGGGTCAATTTCCTTTTCTGTTTTAGATTCATTAACGTTAACTGATATCCTAATCTGACTCTTCTTAATGGCCGTAATAAGGCTGATTATTCTCTGCAGGCCTTGTTACCCTCCATCAGAGAGAAGGCAGCGTTGCCACGTCATCTTTTCCTGTCGCATTTCCTTGAGATCTCGTGTGTTAATCTTATATTAATTGATTTAATTAATGTCTTTTTACAGTTTATATTTGTGATTTTTTTACACTGCCATTCTGATTCATTTATGCTCTGTTTCTAAGCCATTTGTAAAGATACCTGTAATAGATTTTCCCTCCGAAATATTTGCCTTTTTTATCTTAAATAAATTTAATATTATTAACCACAAATTCATTTATTAATCACAAATTCATATTCATATATATTTGTTGAATTTGTATCGATATATATATATATATATATATATATATATATATATATATATATATATATATTGTATGTCTGTAGTCTAAATATCATGTTATGTTTTGTTATTTGACGATTTAAGAAATAACTTCAGAGTTTTAAAAAACACTTGTCAAAATAAGAAAAGCTGTTAAATGTACTTGAATATTTAATATTTATTTTGTTAAATAGCATGGTCTGCCATGTGTACGGATTACTAATGTTACAAGTATCCAGTTTACCAAATGTCAACTAAGTAAGTGACTTCATAGGTCACATCACAGCTTATATATATATATATATATATATATATATATATATATATATATATATATATATATATATATATATATATATATTTATATATATATATATGTATATATATGTGTGTGTGTATATATTTACATTTACGTATACATATGACGTGTGTGTGTGTGAAATTAAATTGGACCAAAGTTCAAAAGCGCGCGGACACACACACACACGTACGCACGCACGTGTGTATGTGTGTGTGTGCGCGCAGGTGTGGTATTCATGAGTGCGTGGAGGCTTCTGATTTTCGGTCCAATTTAATTCCATTACAGCATTTGTGTACGAAGCATATGTCTGCTTATTCCGCACATTCTTGTCACGGTTCCGGAAGGTGTCATGT